ATGGAAGAAGTGTGGAGACAGCAGATGAGAGCAATTAGGGTGTACACAGCAGTCTGATTAGTGTGATTTCCTCCCTGTAAAGTCAGAGTGGGTAGCCACCTGATGCTCTGCTAAATACCTGAAATGATTGGAATGGATGAAGCAAGATGCCAGTAATTCTCTTTAAATGGAGTGTTTGCTCTGGAGAGCTTCTAAAAGAAAAAAAAAAACAACCACACACAAAAAAAAAAACGAGAAAAAGAAAGAGGAGGCAGAAAGACAGTGGCAAAAAGAAATAATCAAATCCTTAATTAAAAGTGCAGAGAACTGACAGCAAAATGAGATAAACCCTATCTTGCAGCTTCTATAGAAAACTGCATATCCCAGCAATCCTGATCAAGAATTCAGATCATTTAGGAAATTAAGGAAGACTGGTTCTTAAGAAAGAGTTCAGCACAAGCAACTCCCACTTAATTTGGTAACTTCATTACAGTGTTTCTCCAGGAGATAAGGCCTAGCCAAAAAAACACCTTTGAGAAAAAGCAGATCTTTTACACAGGACTGGCATCTTATCTCCATCAACAGCCCCTGCTGGGATGGCTCTAGCCCAGTCCCCATAGAGCATCCCAGGTCCCTCAGCATGGTGGAGAGGCTCCCTCATAGCACAACGGGTCGGTAAAGAGCAACCACCTCCTACCAGAAGACACACAGCCTGGTATAACCCTCTCATGTCCACTATTCATGTCATGGGGCAGCACAGCACCAGTCATCCCACATCAAAGGTTGGGTGATGCTCTTGACTCCAGGAATGAGGTACCTTGGACACTGCAGATGCAGAGGACATTTACTTTTGCAGGACAATATGGGCAGGTGGTACTTAGCGCAATAGCCAACAACAGAGTACCCTTCCCAGGACCAACAAAAACAGGGATACATTTCCCTCAGAGGTGACTCCTTGCAGACTCTCTGTGGGCAAGACAGACATTTTTTCTCCTTGCATAAGAAAGGCCTCATCACTACTGCCTTGCTGGTGCAGAGTCCCACAAACAGTGCCACAAGGTGACAAGAGGAAGCTATAGTGGCCAGCACTGTACCAGCACTTCACGGCAGACCACACTGCCTGCAGGAAATAAAGCAAGCATGCATGGCCAAAATTAGGCTCTTTCCAAACCAATCTCCTCCTCTTCTCATTCCTGACAATCTCATGCTTTGAAGGCAGCTATGGTCAAATGACTCAAACCCAGAGTATGATCAGTGAAGATGGTATCACTGCACCAGATTAAAGCTGGTGTGAGCACAGGAGGAAGGAACCAGGCTGCAGATAAACTGCTCCTACACCGTAGCCATGAGGCTCCTGACATTGCCCGCGACTGATTTCATTTCCCTTCCAAGTAGGGAGACTCTAGCCATGGCCTCCCCTTCTATAGGAATAAACAAACAACGGTCTGGTCGCAATTCTCTTAGGCTAACAATATATAGGTTGGACTTAGTTGTTTTAACTGTTTCTGATGTGTTCAGCTCTCTCCCGCTGACGGTGGTGCTGTATCTCTCCTCCAGCTGCCCTCATCATCCACAGCAGCATCTGCAGCAACTAATCTGAGATGTCAGGTACATCCGCTCCGAGACGATGAGCACTGCAGCTGGGTCACTCTGTCTTTCTCAGTCCCAGTAAACCTGTCACTTGACCCACCTGTAAATGCTGTTAACTGTTTGATTCACCATCAGCCTTAGGAGCAAGCCCTGAGCCCATCCACAGCAGAGTATTGCTGCACTAACTAGAACATGGGTAGTCACACCCCTTGCTATTTGGTACTCACTCCTGGCCTCCAACTCACCAGGACAAAGGGACTTTCGCTACAGGAAAGTATAAGATCAAGGCTGACATTCAGGATCACATTGCCTGATCACAGCTTGGTACAATATAAAATTGTGTGCTTAGCATGTGACAGATCAGAGTCTAAGGACAGGAATTAAAATTTTTTTTTTTTGCTTTTGAAAAATTTCACTTTAAATAATCTTCATCTGCCTGGATTTAACAGACCTGACACACCTTCTACACCAACCATACCCAGAGAGATACATGCTCCTGATTTACACCAGAGAAGAGAATCACAGCTTGGGATGCTGGTTCTCATTTACAAGGAATTTGCACCAGTTTGAAGGCATACAGGAACGCTGCAGTAAGTATAAACTACCACTGTCAGGTCAGCATGCACTGACAGTACGTAACTGGAAATCAGGCTACTGTCTCCATGCTTAGTCTCTCCTAGCAGCCGATGGCAGATTAATGGGATGTATTACAGGCAGTCTAACTGGAGCCAAGATGGAATAAAAGGGAAGGTATATATCTCTGCCTGCCTGGCAAAGTACTGAATATATGAATACTGCAAGCAGATCCCATGGGGAGATCCATGCTTTTAAATCACAGTCTGGCATATTTGCCTGTATGGGTCCCAACTTTAAAAGCAACCTCAGATCTGACAAAAGGAATGAGGAAGAAGATGATGAATCTTTGTGCAGATGGGTGTAAAAAAGGAAAACTTAATGAACAGACAGAAAGACATAAGGTGAGCAACATCATATTAGAATTTCTCATTTCCATCCCTAGCCAGAGTAAAATCTCTGCTCTCAAAGCACTACCAGTGACACACTGAGAACCATGCCCCAAAGGCCTTACGGTGTTTACCAAAGCATCCGTATTGTTGGGGAAAAAACTTAATAAAACAAAGAGATGGCTCCCTCTTGGGACTGGAGAGAAAGAAGCAATCCCATCTCACATGGGAAGTTTTCTGAGGCCGATCACACAGAGGACAGAAGCGTCCCTCCTCACATGTTGATGTCTGCCCCTTGAAGGCCTGTTTTGCTATCCAGACAAAAAAAATGCTCAGAGCCACACTCTGTGCTGAGTAGCACTAAGGGTGATGGGACCGACTGAAGGCAATATTTCATTCCTGCCTGTCAGCTCACTGTCCTGATAGGCCAAGCAGTATTTGCACTCCTGACTCTGTGAACTGGGTCCACAGTAAATGCTGCAGAGACCTTGCCAAGCCCTGGGTGAAGGCTACCTGCAAAGCTGTAAGCACATGCTATGATCTCCCCACTCTTCCTTCCCCTCCAGCACCACTCAGCTTTGCTCTGGGGCTCAGCAGAGTTGCAGAGCTTCATACAGGGGTGCAGCAGACCCACGAGGGGAATGCAGAAAGACTGGAGAGGCAGAAAAGCCCACTTGTTTCCCCACGGGTCTGCATTACTCACCAGTGGGTGCTCAGGACCTCACTGCCACAGGGGCACACTGCCACCCTGTGGAAAAGGTCCTTTCTTTCCCGGGCAGCTGGGGAAGGACACGGGGAGATGGTTCACAGCCTCATTAGCTACACTGCTAATGCACTGGCAAGCTATATGCACTTTGGCACTCTGCTGAAGTAGGGCTCTGATAATTTGATTTATTGAGACTAACGCAAATTTAATTTCTGCTAAGTCTTTGTAACCACATATCTAGTGGCAGGGTGGCTGTTGCGGACACAGTGATGTAGCTACTGAAATACACAACTACTGCCCCTCACTCCACTCCCCTCCACTGATAAATTAAAACAACAAAAGATAGATCATAAGCAAATCTTGAGACAAGCCAGATGAGAAACCGAGGCTGGGTGCCACCCCAAGACATAAGGGCAACATGCAGAAAAGGGCAGAAATCCTCAAAGGAGGTGAGACACTGACAGTGGGTTCCTCCCATCTTGCTACAACCAAAGAATCCTGAGCCCAAGTCCCCACTTCGGGTGGGCTGGCAAAAAGCCAGGCAGCCTTAGCATTAGCAGGTCAGCACTAAACACCAAGATTGAGCCCTCACTGTGTAATTCTGTCAGCACAAAAATAAACAGCAGGTAAGCATCAGTGGAAGTCTCTCATCAGTACACTCAGAAGGTTATTTAAACACAGTCTGGAGACCTGTTTGTTCAAAAAGGGCTGTAATTAGCCTGCAAATTAATCTCAACACATCTCTGTATGGCAGACTGAGAAATGAGATTCCTTGGGGAAAAAAAATAATTGTGTTGCTGCTGACAGATGAATACTTTGTATCCAAAGAGACATTAAATTTAAAACCAGGGGTGTTGAGTTTACATTCCTAATTCCTTAGTAAGAACTGAGGCAGTAGGGCCCAACAAAAAGCTCCCCAGAGAGGCTGGAGATACTGAAGCAAGTACAAATATTATAAAACAAAGTCTGCCACTTCTAACTATGCAAGTACATCTGCATCTCACAATGGGCCTGACAAAACCCACAAAAGACACTGCAATTCTTTTGATTTGCTTCGGTAGGCTTTGGGTCAGCTCTCAGATGCAGCAACCTCTCATTTTTACCTCAATTACAAAAAAAAATTATGAACTCTACTGTATGCGCTCCTCTCTCCACTCAGACAGACTGCTGTTTCATGCCAGTAATCAGACAAAAGAGAAATGAAACACTCATTATTATTGACAATGAAACAAGATTCATCCTGTTCAGCCTCTTTCTCTGTTCTTAGATTTAACTCCTGGCACAAACTTAATGAACAAAACCTGAAGCAAAGCAGCCTGTGCCAGACAACATATTCTAATCTGAAATTACATTTCCTGCTCTAATGTGAAAAGCCCAAAGAACCTTTGATGAAAAAACACACACGCCTTCCAGATACAGAGCTCAGGATTAGCCCTTATGTCAGAACCAACCGGCTGGTTCTGTCCACTTTAATCAGGAGAGAGCACTCTGGGACAGCATGACTGTGTGAGCTTACAAGACACACAGCTGTGGAGCTGGCCCTACTGGAATTCAATCTTACCCCTCCACCCTGCGGAGAGTCTTGACCACAATCAAGTGAACGCAAGAGGGAAAACAATAGAATAAACACTGTATATATATGTTCTGGGAGAAGAAACGTGCCCATCACTTGTTCAACAATTAAAATTCAGAAAATGCAAGCAGGGGGTTTTGAACCATCTCTCACTAAAAATGAAACCCATGTTCTGCAGTTCATTCCTTACCTTCAACAGCCCTTTCGGGAAGTCTTTGCCATCATTCATCCCTTGGAGGTTAGCAATGAACTCTTGGCAGGTCATCTTTTTCCCAATGTTCTGGAAGGGATGGCAGAGAAACATAGCATCATATCTATGCTGCTTTCCAAAATGACATAAATAAGCCACATCAGATTAATTGCATCTCCCTGCTCTCATTTAAGTCCAAGGCAGGCAGCACTAAGAGGGCATTCCAAAGATTACTCAGAGACAAGCATCCTTGCGTGACTATAGTTAGAAAGAGAAGGTGCATTTGGACCCCTGGTACCATACACACATTCGAAAAGAAAAATAGCTACATACTGGAGGGTAATGAAGATGGTGATGACGAAGCTCCCTGGTATCTGCACGGTGCCTTACACTCCCGTGTCTCCAGAGGCTCTGCCAGCCTCTGATGGAAAAGCTCTACTTGATCCTACTGTGGGGCATAAGGAAACAGCTGACTGAGGCCCTTCCCAGACTTTTCTCTTATGATTTCTAATGCTCACTTCCAGTAGCAACTGCCTTGAGTTGAAGTACAATACCCAGGAGCAGCCATTACCTTTTCTGATTCACAGGCTGAGGCTGCCTTGACATTTCCATAGGATTGCTCTCTTATCTCTAATTCTCGGACTGAAAGTCACCCAACTGAGCCACAAACAGGAAAGGAATGGCTATGTTCATTTAGGACTTGAACTGCTCCATTTGGCGGCTTGAGGCTGCCCTAACTCCTCTTGGAACCCAGTCTCCACCACCCCTCAGAGAATGTGTCTGTACTCAGTTGCACAAGTGCCCCAGGTGCTAGAAGTCCTACACTTGGCATACGGGGAGCCTTGCAAGCAAGCAGCAATGATGACACTGAACTGGTAAAAAAGGAGCTCAGAGAGATCTGAGGAAAGGGAAATAGCCTGGGATGAGCTGTGAAACATGTTAAACACAGAGTGAAAACAGGACCCTGTGATGACCACTGTATCTTTGGGGATGTCACTGCTGCCAGTCAGAAGGGGGTGAAGATGACTTCTCCATGGTCAGGGTATGCCTCTGCTGCAGAAATACAGCAGAAGAGCTTTGCGCACAGACAGTGACTTGAGTTAGGAGCAAGAGCCCGAATTAACACAGGATGGAGCCCAAAGAAGGGCACCAGTTGGTAATACAGGTCACTCAACGTTACAGTTACATGACAACTTGGACTGCACATCCTCTATTTCCCTTCCATAATGTATAGTGAGTGAGAGATGGAAAACCAGAAAACCTCAACTGTCAGCCTCATCTAGCCATAAAGGAAGATCCTGCAGCCTGTGGCCAGCACAGACCAGCTGAAAGAAAGCAAGGCAGGAACACTGGAATGATGCACTGCTTCCCTCATCAGGAACACTCCTGACAATACAGTCTAGCTGTAACCCCGGATCTCTGGTCACTAAGCTTGCAGAACACAGCTCATAATTGCAGTCTTTGGGTGTAGGCTAGAGATGTTATAGTTGACTTGCAAATGATATCCATCCTCCCTGTGAGAGACTTCAGCCTGCTTCTATGTGGTCTCTGATTCTACGATTCTATGTTTATTTCCTCCATGCAGCAGTTTGCAACTTCCCCACACCAACCAAAAACAACAGCAGTGTGGCTCGTTTCACCCACTGAGATAATTGGCATTGCAAAGGAACGGCTGTTTTGCTCCAGGACCAAAGCTAACATCTCCACTCAGTGCCTCAAAGGTTCCAGAAGATGTGCCTGGCAGTCTAGAGATACCTTAAGTCTCCAGCATCAGAGTCTGGGTGATGACCTCCCTGCAGAGAAGCGAGCATGCATCTCCAAGGCAAAGCTAGCAAAAATTATTTAGTTACAAAGAGAATGAAATGCAGCAAGACAGGGATAAATAAAGGGATAAGTAAGAGTTTGTCTACAAAAGTTAACGACAAGTATGAACTGAAGGCTGCAGTACAGCCCTACAAGCAGTTGAGCTTATTGTGAAATAAAAGTGTCCACACTTATGATCAGTATGTCAGCAACAAATGGAGCTCAGCGTAGCCAAGCCCTGTGACTCATTTGCTTCCTGTTCTAGCAGAATCATGGTAAGGATGGGTCAGTGCATTATCTTTGTTAGGACACAAGCAATTAGTGTATATCTGCAAAGGGCTGCATTCTAAGTAAAAAACGCCAAACTTACCACCTATGTGGAAAAATGCAAAGCAGTAAGAGGAAGACCAAAGTCCAGAGAGAGAGAGAGAGAGAGAGAGAGAGAGAGAGAGAGAGAGATGCAGGAGTCTGGCAAACATTACAGCTGCACACACACAACATACTGATGGCTGCCAGTAGGAAAAGCCTCCAAAGTTATACATTGCAACACACAAGAGTCATCCCAGCTGCAGCTGTAAATCACCAGCAGCAACGATGGGTGAGAGCCAGACCATTTACTCCAGTACCTAATGAAAACAGCAGGGCCCACTAAAGCATTGCAGGGAGCAATGGGAAATGCTGTCAGGCTGATGCACAACCATTGAGTCTCCCACCCTGGCAAGGCCAGGCAGGCTGAAGGGCAGGTGTCCCAGGCTGCTCTTCACTCTGGGGAGCAGGACACCTGTGCAGGCAGTCTCAGGTGTGCTCAAAAGAAGCAGCGTATACCAAGAGGCACACAAGGGATACCCCTGCTTGCCCTCACATGCTCCTTAGTCAGTGAAGGCTCAGCCTTCAGAGAAAAAAACCAAAAAACCAAAAAACCAAAAAACCAAAAAACCAAAAAACCAAAAAACCAAAAAACCAAAAAACCAAAAAACCAAAAAACCAAAAAACCAAAAAACCAAAAAACCTTCACAACTCACTTCCCCCTCCCACTTCTACAATTTTCAGACAAAGGCATTCAATTAACAGGAAGTGGGCATCAAAACCCCTGGGGAAGCACACAAAAGCCTCAGCTTCATTACCTGCACCCACTGCAGAGCTGCACTCACAGGGGCTGAGCAGCTGCTGGAGACAGACCCAGGGTGCCTCCATCTCCTGCTGCCCAACCCACCATCCCTGCTGCATATGAGCTCCTAATTGAGGCCCTCTTGGAAGAGCCCTTGGTAGTGCAGGGGAGGGTCTCAGCCAGAGAGAAGCCCCAAAGCCATGGGGCTAAAGCCACTACTCCTGCATGCTATCATGCCATGCTTCCTGTGTTTTGCCCTCTCCATCCTGGCTCCAGGACTGAGCAAGCCTCCCATCAACACAGGAATACCATGTATAGCAGGGGCATTGCACCATGGGTGCTGAAATACCTGTCCTAGGTCTGCTGGCACCCCATACCAGTGTGACTAAGAGGACTCAAACTGGAATACTATTTCCCTAGGGCAGGCAGTGGGGAGAGGTGTGCAGTGGGGGAACACAGGACTCCCACTCAGAATGCCCACATTCCCCTCCACTCCCTCAGCTCTGGGCACACCTGTCTTTACCTTGGCTGAGCAGAACTCTGGTTCCACCAGATCTCCCTCCCGCAACTAGATGCCTACAGACATCATCTTCCCCTTGTGACCTTCCCAGCACCTTTTCACTTCCCTTCTTTCTTCTGCCTTCCCAAATGTTTTTTTTTTTTGGTGTGGTTTTTTTTTTTGTTTGTTTGGTTGGGTTTTTTTGGTGTTTGTTTTTGTTTTTTGTTTGTTTTGTTTTTTTACACACTGAAAAGGGGAAGGCAATACCAACCACATTTTCCTGGCCAGGGCGAGCTGCTGTAACCAGGGAACGATGAGAAGCACACCAGAAAGACAGGGGCTTGAGGACAAGGAGCATCCTCACCCATTACGGCAAAGCCAGGCACAATGCCAGCTTATACATGACTGATCTGGGCATGCTGGAAAGCCCTGCCCAGGATAACAGCCTAGGGGTGCAGCCTTCTCACTGCTGTCTGCAGGGGTGCTTTAGGAGCAGGCCACCAGCAAGGGGACTCATCTGCCAAAAGACCAACACTTCCAGGCACAGTGTTGGTGGGAGCAGTCTACACAAAGCAATGCATACTCACATGGCCATGTAGGTCTGTGTTCAGCAGCATCATGGCACACGTGAGACAGTGAACTCCATCTGCAGAAAGAGACATAACCAGAGTCACATGCAAACCCATGACTGGGCCTTCAAGAACAGCTGAAACTGAGCCTCATAGCTTAATTGAGTCTGTTCCCTTAATAAGAATCTGTTTTATCAAGAAATACATATAATTAAATAAATGAACAGTGAGGTCATCCCATAGCTGCCAAGCCAGAACAGCCTTTCTTTCATCTTTTAATGACTGTCAAAACCTCCTCGCAGCACCCATGGATGAGGCAAAGTAGACCGGAAACCACGCTGTCACCCTTTGGCTTGCTAATACCAATACCAGAGCCTGAATCAACATCCTCTTCATTTCTTTCAGGGCAGAAAGGGAAGCTTAAAATACATCCATTCTTGTGTGCAGAGTGGATACAACATGGTAGCCTATTTTCCTCTTCCTCTGGCCCCCTCCTTATTCAGGGCCCAATTAAACTGAATTTTTGGAGAACTTCAATCAGCTATTTATGCTGCCCTGGCTCCACACTGGGTTAAAGAGTGCTCCATGAATGTCTAAGGTGCTCCTGTAGCAAAGGCCCTCCACAATGAGCCAGAAGCAACAGACCGTACCTTAGCTCCATCCCTGGAGTCACTGCGCAGACTTGAGAAAGTCAGTGTAGACTGTCATTTGCAAAAGTGAACACCAATTTCATAGTCCTCATTTCCCAGGCACCCCTTTTAAAACCAAAGTGTATTGGCTGTGCACAAATCCAGACAAAGGTGACAGTGCCCATGGTGGCACTTATCGCCTCTGAAAATCCAAAGTCAGGAACACATTAGGAAAAATATTTTCTCCATTCTCTTGTTCGTAAACACATGGTGCCACCTTCCCTTCTCTCACAAGGGTGTCATAAACACACAGAGTCATTTATGAGACATGCACACACTGCAGGGAGTTGTACATAAAAACTTTCGTAGCCAAGTCCAGATAATGACTATGCACAGGTCCCTCTGTGCCATGAAGGGAGAGGAATGGGGGATGAGGACAGATATATCTCACACTCAGGGTGGCTATCACAAGCTTAAATCTGTGCAAGATGAAACCATTACAAAAACGTGTTCCCCAGGGTACGGACCATGTTTTCTTACGTTTGTACAGGCTGTAGCACTCAGGCAACATGGCCAAACTGCAGCACAGCGTGAAATGAGAGCTACTACTAGCCATAGTAAGCCTGAAGCAGCTTGACTATGGGGCTGTGGTGCTCCAGTTCAGGTCTATGCACTTCTCTAGAGCAGCCTGTCCTCTCCTTTCCAAATTGCAAATGCATCCACAGAATGGGAAAAGGAAAGCGGAAAAGAGAACGGCAAATGCAATCCTGGATTTCCATTGAAAGGAACAACCACCATATTTCTGCAGTGTAGCGCTCAACTACTGATAGTAGAAACACAGCATCAAAATTACATAGAATCCTGGGCAAAGTTTGCAGGACTCACTTTAACCTAAATGCTAACTCAGGCTCGGAAGTGGCAATGTCCCTGCTGCACCCTGGATTACAGTAAGGCTGCCACATAAACATGCCAAGTCATTACTTCAGTCTGGACATGACACACCTCTTCTACCTGCCTGCCTGCAGTGTCTTGAAACAAGAAGGGCATTAGGAAGAGGACAAAGATAGCATGGGAGCAGCTCCTGTCTTACTGCTACCTATTCCCCTCCCCAGCATGCCAGCCAGTAAAGCTGAACAGGTACAAAGTGGACACCACCTCACTGCAACAGGGACAGGTCACAAAGCGAGCAGTAAGGAAGTGTGGCAGTACCTCCAAGTGTAGCAGCTCCTTCTCACTTACACTTGAGACTAAAGGCACAGCTTAGCCCATGCTTATCTTCTTTCTTGCCCTGCTGCCTTTCTCAGAGTGTGACCAGCCTGTGCTGCAATCACAGGGCTGCAGGCCTTTGCCAGCATAGCCAGCTGAAAGCAGCAGCCATGCCAGTGGACAGTTTGTCCTTTTCTCCAATGCCAACTTTCTTAGGTTTGATCTGTGTGCTTGTTTGTTTCTTCCATCCATTTCCAGAATGACTGAAAACATTGGCAAGGAGGCAGCACTCCAATTGACGTTAGTCGAGATGAAACCATGCCAGGGCCTGGATACAGTAACCAAAATTCACCCCCACAACTGGCAAGAACTGGCATGCCTGCTGCCAGGGCATGCAGAGATGCAAGCGCTGAATGGAGCATGGAAAGCAAACAGCTTCTCCTCCACCTGAGATAAGACCTATTCTTGTCCACATGCATGTAGCTAGAGTACAAGTACCCACACAGGCTGGAAGTCAGCAAGACCAGAAACCACAACTGAGGACATTCAAATCTGGAGATGCTAAAACTGAGGATTTTACACTGAGGAGAGGCCTAAACAGCTTTCCTGACTGTGGATAAATACAGATTTTTCACTGCCTTACCACGATTATGTGCGTGGAGCACAGAGGGTTTCAATGCTCACCACAGGCAGTCTCTAAAGTGTGGCATGACAATTATACACCTTCAGTTCCCAGGGACGCATCATACACGTTACTAAAGGTGACAATGAAGGAAGGGGAAACAACCAAAGACCTTAATACCAGAAACAAAGTTACCTTGGGAAGAAATGGTGTTTGGATTGCACTGGTAGTATCTGCTGGAGAAGTGGATTAAAACTCTCTCTCGTTCCTGAGTTTCTCCGATAAGTGAAAAGGCTTTAAAGAAACTCCTGAAAGAGCAGAAGGCAAAATTAATGTCATAAATCTCTTTTTGCCTCACATAGCCCACAGAGGAAAGCACAATTCACAGCAAAAAGTACGTAAGAGTACACCAGACATTTGGTTCCAAGAAGCCTTTCTAGGAAAACTGGCTATTATCCCATGTGCAGTTAATCCCAACATTATAATAAATGAAGCAGGAGTTAAATTACTACTGGTCTCAGTCATTACCCATTTGAAAGAGCTGTCCTTATTTTTGCTATTTTTCTTTTCTTTGGGGAAAGAAGAGGAGCAGGTGTTTTTTATGCATGACAGACATCCAGGGTGTTCCCTGTCCTTTTCTAATTTTCTGTCAGTCCTGCACCTTTTAACTTTACATTCATTAGAATTCCCATCCAAATCAGAGAAGATACTCCAGGCAGTGAAGTCAAGCAGGTGCACTGCAGACTCAGAGCCCACAACAAATGTGCCTTCCTCCTTCCAGAGGGCCACTTATCAGAGCGGCCAGAACCACACCAGATGCCTTGCAGAGCACAGTGTAACTACCTGACCCACAGAAAACATCTGGGGAAGAGGGCAAAAGAGTTGTAACATCTCCCACTATGCTTCAACAGCAGGAGGAGCAACCTGGGTTCCTGCTCATGACAGTCCAGGGTGAAGGACTGGGTACAATCCTTAGGCATATCCAGTGAGCCTGTGCAAAGAGGTGGGACACACCACACATCTTCCACTCCGCCTCATTAACCACGCTGCTCTTCTTCCTCCTAGAAAAACTTGCCTCACAGCCAAAGAAGTTCTGCACTTCCCAAAATCGCCACATCCTGAAGCCAAGAGATGACCTCAGTGGTATCAGCTTACACTCATTTGTCAGGATGCTGCTAAGAAAAGCCTGAAAACGCAAACCCTCTGGTTCAAAGCAAGATGGCATACAAACTGAGTGCCTAATAGACAATTTTTAAATATCCCATGAGACTGAAACTAATAATTTCACATGTAATGTATTACAAATAACCCAATCCATAAGTAGATACAACTGAGTCTTTGCAGGGTTTCTCTTCCCTTCCTACCTCATGCCCCCATGGGACATTTTGACAACTAGCCATCTTCCCTCCCCCTCCAGCTCAGGCTTTTTCCACAGACACCCCCTGCTCACGCCAAGCACCACTGGCCTACACCCTCTCCTCTTCAGCACCTTTATCCACCCTGGAAGCTGCCTCCGAGAGGCAACTGAGGAAACAACATCTGGTAAATAAACAAGGCAGGTTCCTCACTCTCAGAGCATGATGCTGTGGCCAAGGGCCACCGGGGCAAGCTTCTGCCCACCAGGAGGACCAGGATAGACTCTAGAGGGGCTGGAGCAGCAGTCCCACCCCCTCCCCTCCTCCTCCATGCAAGAGATGCACATGGGAGATGCACGGGTGACATGGTTTCAGGGTGTGGAAGCAGAGCAGGACAACAAAGGATCAACCCCCTCCATGTCCCGGACTTGCCATCAACAGCGACAGGCACTACACAACAGCCTCCCACCGCCCTGGGGGCAGTGCAGATCTGGGCTGCCACCATGGGCTCCAAAATGCTTAACAAACCACAGCTTGTCAGTGAGCCAGCAGCAACAGTGCTGTTACATCTTGCCCTCTCCAAGTGTCAGGCAGCACGCCTTGGCTCCCCCAGGCTTCAGGATAATGCTCTGTCCCTGGATTCTCCTGAGCGCTCAGGGTGTTGCAGCTGGCAGTCACTGTGGCTACTCCTGAAACCTCAGCAAACCCCTGGCATGTGCAAGTCCCACGTGAGCCAAGGCATATTTTAGAGAAGGTCATGACTATTAATATTAACAGTAGATCTACCGGGAGCAGAGACCTCCTAAATATGTACCACAAAGCAATTAGGTGTTGAATTTCACAATTTAAAAAATGGGTATATTTAGCATTGTGCTGCAGGGCTGCTAAAACCTAGAACAAGCACCAGACCTCCCACCACCCCAGCTGCTCCCACCCCGTGCTAAGGAGTTGCTCCGGCTGGGCTCTGCTCCCCTGCCATGGGAACAGGCAGTTCACCCTTCTGCAGGTGTGCTTTCTTTCCACTGCCCTTGGCACGCAGGACTCCCAGCTTTCCTTGGGGTCTGCCACTGTCTCCTGGAGTCACCCCCCTGGAAATGCATTTTCAAGTGGACTGGCAAGTGCCTGCAGACCTCCTGGTTTTGTACCATTAGAAATAACCCACTTGAGTAACCTCAGCCAGATGATTTAAACTCACTTTAAATCCCTTTAAATACCAGAACACCAGCAACTGTGCTAATACGCCACTGCCACATAAACTTGGTGCTTTGCCTCCTAAGAAAAAAATATACTGAAAACAAACATTGTTGGGGCCTAATTCCAGTGTAAAAAGGAAGGAAAATTGAAGAGCTAGGTTTTCAAACATCCATACTGGCAGCTACCAAACTCTCAACGGCATTTTCCATGTGGAAGCTTTTGCTGTTCTGCACATTCTTGGGTGCCTCAGAGGGATGTGGCAAGGGGGCTGCTAAGCCACATCAAACTGTGGCCCTGGCTTTCTGCACTGCAGCCTGCCAGTGCAAGCTTCAAAACGCATCGGCCAAAAAGTCTGTGTGGCTCAGCTGTGAGCAACACTTTCATGCCCCAGCAGCACCTCGCAAACTGCAAGTGCCCAGTTTACCAAGTGACTGATCATTTCTTCCTCCATCTCCTCTGCATCAAGGACCATCTTTAAGGAGGTCCACCCAAAGATCTCCCCCACCAGGAAATGCCACCACTCCAATGGCACTCTGGAGTACAGCAGCATGCCAAGCCAAATAGAAGAGAAAAGCTCTGTCCCAAAAATCACATCACACCCCTCTCTTCACCCTCTTAAGGCCCCACAGGGCAACTGCTTCAATCAGGAGAACACAGCAAACAGCACCGTAACTAAAACAAGAACATAAGGCCTGCAAATGGCCATGTACCTGAGTGAGTGGTCCAGCGTCATGCCTGTGAAGTCAAAAAACTTAAGGTATTCTTCGGCCACAAGCTTGCTGAATTCATTGCTTTAAACAAATACATAAAAAATGATTATCACTCGAGTGAACCCCTCCAGAAGCAGCAGGAACAACATGGCCAAAGGCCTCATATCAGTACTTACTTTTTACCCAAATGCTTTGCCACATCAGAGCGTTTGAACCTGTCCAGACGGTAGAGGCGCTTAGCCAGGCGCCTGGCTGCTTCCAAATTGCTACTGCTGCCATTGCTGAGATCATGGCCAAGGGCTCTGGTGGCATCTTTCTCCTGAAGTTCATTGCTCCCCATGGCAGCACCAGAGTCTACCACCACATTCTGCAGTTCAGCATTGCTATGAGATGGACAGAATACAGAAAGAAGAAAAATAAGATAACATTACCGTTTCAAGAAGGATTTAATTCCTCTTAGAATAGAAGGCAGTTAATGGTACAGAGGCAAGATTACACAATACAGCAAATTCCACTTAATTGAAGGAGCTGTGTAGAACAGGCAAGTTTATTTAGCAGTCATCAGAGGTTAAAAGCTTAAACATAGAGACCCAAATATGGGCTTTCCAGCCCAGAAACACATTCTGCACTGACCTTCTGAGTGTGCCAAGTGTCCACAACTTGTGCTCACTTCACAGACAGCTGTTTGCTATTATCAGCCTACAACTGCACCTGACAACATTGGCTCCTCATATGCTTCTTGCTCTAGTATTTTTTAACCCAATCCCTTGCTTGGCTTGAAGGGGTCCCTATAAAAGTAGGCCATTAGCCATTTTTCCAGGGGAAAATGCAGCAAGCAAGTCAGGGTGTTCAGCAGATACAAGCTGACTCGGCACAAGTCCCTTCCTCATTCTTCCCCAGTTGTCCTGCAAACAGTACAACTCCCCAAATCTCAAATAACATCTGCACAAGTCTCAGTGGTTTCTGTGCTGTCCATCAGCAGTAGGCATCCTACGGGGAGGAAACACTAGAAAAAGCAGGACTCAGAGCAAGGAACCCAGTTCAAGGAATGGGAGAGAGACATAAGCCACCCAGGCCAGCCTGGAAAACCACTTGCTTTCCTCCTGCTCCTTCGTGGTGGCAATAATTTCCCTCACTGGCTGCTCAAAGTCAGGATGTTCAGCATGGCAACCCCAGGGCATTTTACATAAATCATGCATTTATAGATTCCTCCCACCTCTACTACAGTAGGAAAGCTCTGACTGAGCTGTGTGCCTGCTTTGCTTCTCCCCTCAAAGAGGCAAGAGCCCTCCACACCAGAAAGTGCACCCCCACATACACACCCCTGCACATAGGCAGGCTTTTAACTTTGGAAAAGTTTTTCTCACACTGGCATGAAAATTCTTGCAAAATATCAGCTCCATGTGTGTGCATTACAGCATTTCTATTAAAAAATACTATACAGAAATTCTTTCCACTAAATCCTCATTTACACAGGGCTAGTGAACAATCAGTAGGGGTCATGCGCAGGGCAGATATGAGTGGAATGAGTTAAAGATGATTTTAAACACAACACTTCAACATACCATCATTTCATACACCACTGTAATCTTCAGGGTTGATGAACCACAGTTAGAACAACCCACCGCTGTGCTCCAGTAACAATTATCTAATCATTCATTGAAATGTCTGCTAGCCACTTATTAACCCTTTAAAGGTGAGATTTTTATTTTAAGCTATTCTGCATGCCTCCTTCCACACAAATCATCACCTGTGCCCTACCTCTCTTCCCATGCATGGTCTAAGAGAAGGAGGTGATGTGGTGCTCCTACAGGACAGAGTCTTGCCCATTTCACCTCTGTTTCCATCCTCCTAGTGCTGCTAGAACATCACAAATCCACATTGCAGGTACAACTTTTTTTCTCAATTATCTGGAGAAACAGACATCCAACTCATTCCTGTAAGTACTGTGGATTTGATTTCACATTTATTTTGGTGTAAATAATAAGGTGCTATAACAAAAGGGGTTCTGTCTTAGTGCTGTAGTAGGTAATTAATATGTAAATACAATTCCAACAGATTAACATCACTGACCACACCAGCTATCCTAGAAAACAAAAAAAGCCCCTACTGATACCATTGTTGTGGGAAATGCCTCCTCAGCCCTTTCCAAAAGTACTAGCCAATGTCCAAAATTCTCTAAATTTAGTCTACTCCAAACCTGTGAAGAAAGCAAATTCCAGAGTCCTCTGACACATACCCCAAGCAATGCCTTGTCCACCCAAATCAGGCACAATACGGTTTCAAACTCCCAGCTCTAAAAATTGACAAGAGCAAAGGATAACCAGGTGAGCTAACATGTCTACAGAGCCTTCCACATATGTACGCTGCTTCAAAAGCCATGCCAACTTGCAGAGCCTTGCTCATAAATTACAGCCTGGTTTCACCACTGCTCTTTATTAAAGGCAATATTTATAGCCCTGAAAGATGGCCAAAGCTGACAAGAAACATCTGCACCCTGCTAGGAACCAGTGCGCTACAAGAGTCAATGTTACCACAAACCACCATAAGTTTAGAAAGAAAGGAAGTGCCAGCATCTGCCACTTAGTGAAATAAACAGTATGACAGCTCCCAGCTCCTGTTTTGCCTCTTGGAGCAGCGGCTAGGATGTGAAGGAGGAACATCCAGCAAGAAGGTGAGCCTGCTCTTTCCCCTGCTCACGAAAACTAGCCAACAGGGCTGCATAAGAAGTCTTATCTTCCATTCTCCCTGATTTAAAACTTCATCCTGATGGTGGGTCCCCATACATACATCAGCTCAAAGAATAAGGGATGCTTCCTTCATTTATTCTGACAGTTAATTAGCTTATTACTTAATAAGTACAAGGCGGCAATCAAATCAACAATATAGGCTGTCTGCAATATAAGCTTTTTGTTTAGGGAAAATGTGAGATTGTTAACATTAAAGTGAGACTTCAGTTCTCAATTTTTTTAGGTGGTGAGAAGACTCAGGCCCATGTCACTGAAGGCTTAGCAAATGCAGCTGCTCTGTGCATGACTACTGCAAGCTGCCTTCTTGACAGGTCATTTTAGCAGGGTCCAGCAGAGTGTTACTCAGGGGAAAGGCCAACATCTCTTCTTACTTCCAAGTCTCTCTGGGTGCACCATTTTCCTTCTGTGCCTCAGTGTCCTCAGCTGCTGAACACAGATAGAATCACAGAATCATAGAATGGTTTGGGCCAGAAGCCACCTTAAGGATCACCTAGTTCCAACCCCCCTGCCATGGGCAGCAACACCTTCCACCAGACCACGTTACTCAAAGCCCCATCCAGCCTGGCCTTGAGCTCTGCCAGGGAGGGGGCAGCCACAGCTTCCCTGGTAAATCTGTTGCAGTGTCTCACCACCCTTGTAGTGAAGAACTTCTAGCATCTAACCTAAATCTTCCCTCTTTCAGTTTGCAATCATTACCCCTCGTCCTATCACCACACTCCCTGATAAAGAGTCCCTCCCCACCTTTCCTGCAGGCTCCTTTTAAGTACTCGGAGGCCACTAGAAGGTGTCCCCAGAACCCTCCCTTCTGCAGGCTGAACAACCCCAACTCTCTCAATCTGTCCTCGTAGAGGAGGTGCTCCAGCCCCCTGATCACCTTCATGGCCCTCTTCTGGACCCACTTGAAAGGGTCCATGTCCTTCATGTGCTGGGGGCCCCAGAGCTGGACGCAGTACTCCAGGCAGGGTCTCATGAGAGCAGAGTAGAGAGCAGAGGGGGAGAATCACCTCCCTCAAGCCGCTGGCCACACTTCTCAATGCAGCCCAGAATGCGATTGGCTTTCTGGGCTGCAAGCGCACATTGCTGGCTCATGTTCAGTTTTTCCATCTACCAGCACCCTCAAGCCCTTCTCCGCAGGGCTGCTCTCAATCCACTCATCATCCAGCCTGTACCTTGGGACTGCAAGCACAGAAAGCAAATAGATAGAAAATATTTGCCTCCCTCTGTAAAGTGCTTATAATGGACTCTAATCAAGGGCTAGGAGCAACCAAGGCCACAAACAGGTCTAACTTCTGCGGTCTACAGTTTCTACAGCAGCATTACCAGCTAAATAGAGCCAAGGGCTTTGTGATGCAGAGCAAGACTGGACACTGATTTCTCATGCAGCTTTGCTCTTCATCATATAAAAATGAGACACCTCCACAGACAAAAATAGGCTGAAAATGTAATAGATTACATTCCCCCTAATCCTGCATTCAAGGCCAAAAGGAACTATAGCGATACCACTAGTAATTGCCTGTACAACAACGGCTGCTGATTTTCATCCAGAGACTCTCACATTAATCTCTGCTATCAGAAAACAGAAGCTATAAAATCCCAGACCCTCTGGTCTCACAGTGCACAAGCTGTGGCCAGAAACCAGGTCCTTAAACCTTATTTCTGTCCCCAGCAATGCACTCCTGACACATCCTCCCTCCTTCTGCCAAAGCATCTCCAGGTTCACAGTGAATGCATAGAGGCTGTGACGACCATATCCAGCAGAAATTACAGCAATTCAATAAACAGCTGCTATGGTAAATTCAGTACCTTCTAACTGCAGCAGTCGCCCCTCCATGTAACTGTAACATCTGTAAAGCTGGTTTCCCGTAACACACCGTAACATCTAGGCAGAGTCTGAAACATTTTATACCATTTCCTTCACTTATTCCATTATTGAACAGGTCTACAGTGATGTAGCTCTCAATCCCAAGGTATCTCAATCATGTCATGCTCAGCACTTAGCACACTTGATCAGTTAAAGGATATTCTAGATTCACTTATTCCCCCTGCCCCCCATCCTAGGTTTCACCAAAATCAAAACCCTCCACAGCAACATATGGTTGGGGAATGTCTGCAACTTCCAGGTAAAAACAGAGTAAGGCCAGTAACATAATGGTAATGATACAGGCACCTCATTGCTCAGTGGTCCACTCTCCCAGTCTACCAGGCTGCAACTGGAAATCTCGGCATGAGTACCTGCAGCCTTAAACAACAGAATGCCCTTCATTTTCTAGAAAATCCATGGGGGAAAATTCTCTGTTTTGTCCCAAGGAAGAAAGCATGTTAGCATTTTGCTTTTTGAGAGAAGAGCTCAGATCCATCACAGAGCAACTGCCCAAGCCGTTATCAAGGAGATGTTCAATGCTGACACTGAGTGGCAGGGTCTGACAACTCAGCCTAAGTACTGTCCTCAGCCCAGCCACGTCAGAGATCCTAGCTTGCTACTGCCTGCAGCTCTTGCCAGACTGAAGCGTAGCATACACTCTGTGCCACATGGTCCCCCCTGGATGCACATGGGGCCTCTCCCCAAGGAATGCTAATGCATCTGGCGTGCACATCCAGAGGGAGTGCACTGGATGCACTGATTTCAAGGGGAG